GATTGGGCATGCTTGCCCCCCCCCCCCCCCCCCCCCACCTGACTTCTTCTTTTTCCTTTTTTTTGAGAGGAGAAACCTGTAGATCCAATTATAGACAATGCAGCTTCAGCCTTACTTTTTAATCATCTCTGTAATTCTGCCCGTTGTTGAATCTGCCTTGTAATTAACTAGCTTATTGTGTTTGGTAATAAATCATTGTTGGATAAACTTCAATGCACGACTTATCGTCCATCCATTCATATTCAGTAATATTCATTTGCTTATGCCTGAGAAAGACTTGTCTAAATCCTTGAGACATATTGCATCACTGCTGTGTTGGTTCATTTATTTTGTTGAATTCAATACTGTTGCATTGTTTATGCCTGAGAAAGACTTGCATATATTGAAGTATTGCTTCATTTATTCATGTATTCTAAAACATTTGTTGTATGCCCTGAAAGGTTCTGAACTTTTTTACCTTATTTTTATATTATCCTTGTATAACTGGTGAGTAATTTCAATGATAATGTACCATAGAAACTCAAAGAAAAGGCGGCATCTAACACATTTTTCTATATAACCTAGTCGCGCAATTCGATTAATGAACTTATTTAAACTGATGATTAAGTATCTTCATAGATATTTTGTTTGCTTTGCTGGCAGGGAGTTACTATGGATACCCTAACTACTCTCAATGAGATAGCTGATTCAGAGGCACAACCGAATAAGTTTAGGCGGAAGAAGTCCATAGTTTGGGAACATTTCACAATTGAAAGAATTGGTGCAGACTGTACCAGGGCCTGTTGTAAGAAGTGCAAGAAGTCATTTGCCTATATTAGTGGTTCAAAGTTAGCAGGCACCAGCCACCTCAAGCGGCATATCGCCTTGGGTATTTGCCCGGTGGGTCGGACCAACCAGGACAAGAATCAATTAACCTCATTTAACTCTGCTGCGCCAACTAATGGTTCTGCTGAGGCTACTGGTAAGTCAAGAAAGCGGTACAGAGCTAATCCAGGACCAACAAATATCCCATTTGATCAAGCCCGTTGCTACTATGATATTGCAAAAATGATAATTCAGCATGACTATCCACTTGAGATGGTGGAGCACTCGGGATTTAATAAGTTTGTGCAAAATCTTCAGCCTTTGTTTAGTTCAGTGAGTGTTGATACCATACAAGAGCATATTTTTAACATTTACCTGGGAGAAAAGCAAAACCTTTTGAACATTATTGGTGCAATTCCTGGACGTGTTAGTCTGACACTCAATTTGAGAACTTCAGATCAAAACTTAGGTTATGTCTTCCTAACAGGATACTTTGTTGACAGTGATTGGAAATTGCGGTGCCGACTTCTCAATGTTATCATGGTGCCTTTTCCTGATTCAGACGTTGCCTTCAATCATGCTGTTGCCGCATGTTTGACAGATTGGTGTTTAGAGACAAAGCTATTCACGCTAACTCTTGATCAATCTGTTGCGAATGTCAATGTCAGAAAAAACCTGGGACATCTACTATCGATCAAGGGAGGAAATATTCTCAACGGTCAGCTAATTATTGGTAGTTGTTGTGCTCGTGTTCTGAGCGATCTTGCACAGTATGCATTACATTACATGAGAGCAATTGTTGAGAAGGTCCGCCAAAGTGTTAAGTTCGTTAAAACCGCAGATGCCCATGAAGAAAAGTTTTTGGAGCTCAAGAGACAACTTCAAGTTCCCAGTGCAAAGGAGCTCATTGTGGATGACCAAACAAAATGGGATACCACATATCAAATGCTGATGACTGCGTCTGAGCTGAAAGAAGTATTTTCTTGCTTGGATACTTCTGATCCTGATTATAAAGTGACACCTACAATGGATGAGTGGAAACAGGCCGAAATTCTCTGTGAATACCTGAAGCTTTTCTTTGATGCAGCCAACCTCTTAACCTCCCCGACATACTCAACGGCCGATGTGTTATTTCATGAAGTGTGGAAAATCCAGCTTGACCTGATGCAGGCAGCCCGTAGCCAGGATCGTTTCATAAGAGATTTGACTAGACCATTGCAGGAGAAGTTTGAGGAATACTGGAATGATTGCAACCTGGTTTTAGCAGTTGCTGTTGTTATGGATCCTAGGTTCAAGATGAAGTTGATTGAATTCACTTTTAACAAGATCTACGGTGAAGAAGCTGAATCTTGGATCAAGATTGTCGATGAAGGAGTGCACGAAATTTTTTGTGATTACATCGTGCAATCACTTCCTCCGCCTCCGGCTAGTTTTGTAGACGAAGCAAATGACAGTTTTGTAATAAAATCAGAATTCTCTCAGGAAGATAGTTTCCTTGCTAATGGTGATACATTTGCAGATTTCGATGTGTATCTCCATGACATTATGAACAATCAGCAGATGAAAACAGAGTTAGATCAGTATCTTGAAGAATCTCTGATGCCTCGCTCACAAGATTTTGATGTTTTGGGTTGGTGGAGAATTAACAGATGCAAGTACCCTACTCTCTCCAAAATGGCATCTGATATTTTATCCATCCCAGTCTGCACTGTCACTCCAGATTCTGTGTTTGACACTACATTGCGAGATTTGGATAGACACCGGAGTTCATTGAGACCCATAACTATTGAGGCTCTCAGTTGTTCCAAGGATTGGCTTCAATATGAATCTTGGGAGCTCCCATATGGAACTCCAGACGCAACAGTTAAAATGGAGTATTAGCTTTATTAGTAAAGATTTATTGGTGTAGTTGCTTCTTTATTTTCTTTTGATTACCCCTTTATAGCAAACAGTTTTGTGCACACAAAGGCGTATAGATCAATGAAATTCATATTCTTTCACCAACTTTATATGAAGGAAAATTCACTCTAACATCTCTTGCGTTGCTTTTTTTAAAAAGTAGGAAAATACATTAAAGCTAGTGATTGAAGGAAAAAAAAAATTCTGTTTTGATTGTTCTTCACTACCAAAAGATTTAAGCCTTTTCAAGGCTACCATGAGATGTCATCTGATAGTTGACAGGATCATGTTATTTTGTGATTCTGACAAACATTCTAGTAACAATGGCTGTGTTGGGATATTATCTTATGGTTGCATGATAGATTTTTGGACGATGAGCACTCGAACCTACAACCTTAGAGTTGGAGGTGGGGCCGTGGGGTGGAATATACTTTATCAACTGAAAACTGTATTTTTTTTTTCCCGCTTTACTATCGTAGTTACTGAAAAGAAAAATATTTCTGTGAATCTAGGTACAGCTTTCATAGGCTGTTAGATTTTTGAAAGTTCAAAATTGGAATTGGTTGCGTTAAGCGATTACACATTAGATTCTACTGAGGAAACGAGATCTCTCGACCTTTTACCAGAAAATGATATTTTCATATCTGTTTAGCTGTAAAAAAAATAAAAATCTATTTATGTGATGTGTTTGATAGTGAAATCAGAATATGATTATGATCTTAAGCTCTCTTAGGGGACTCTCTAACTTGACATATACTTTCAATTTGGCTTTCCATGGAAAAGGTGCTTCACAATGTCCAAATCAAGTTTTCCAGCTTGCTCATCTTCATTTGTCTCCAGAAATCCATTTACCCTTGCAGAGTCTCATAGAAAGGTGCAAATCCATGGACCAACTTAGACAGATTCACTCAGTAATAATCCAAAAAGGCCTTATTTCTGATCCTAAACTCTGCTCCAATATTATAGCCTTTTGTTCTAATAATGAATTAGGTGATATGAAATATGCTCGTTCTGTGTTTGACATAATGCCTGAACGAGGAGTTTTCATTTGGAATACAATGATCAAGGGCTATTCAAGAGAAAATAGTCCCCAAAATGGAGTGTCAATTTACCGAGAGATGTTAAATAACAATGTACAACCAGATAATTATACGTTTCCTTTCTTGCTCAAGGGTTTTACTCGTGAAGTATCGTTAAAATTGGGGAAAAGTATGCATGCTCATGTATGTAAATTCGGGTTTGAGTTAAATGAGTTTGTTCATCATGCTTTGATTCATGTGTACGGTTTGTGTGGGCAAGTTGATATGGCTCGTGGGGTATTTGATTTGAGTGCTAAAAGTGATATACTTATTTGGAATTCTATGATTTCGGGGTACAACAGGTCCAAGCAATTTGGAGAGTCAAGGAAACTCTTCTATGCAATGGAGGAGAAGCAATTGCAGCCTACTTCGGTAACTCTCATCTCAGTGATATCAGCTCTTTCGCAGCTTAAGGATTTAGATACTAGCAACCGAGTTCATCAATATGTTAAGGACTATAAGGTACAGTCTAGTTTGGTGTTGGACAATGCTATAGTTGACCTGTATGCGAGTTCTGGAAAGATGGATGTTGCACTTGGCCTATTTCAGAGCATGAAGCATAAAGATGTTATATCATGGACCACAATTGTCAAAGGTTTCGTTAACATTGGACAAGTTAATGTGGCTCGGAAATATTTTGATCAGATGCCAAAGAGGGATAATATTTCTTGGACAGCGATGATGGATGGATATGTCAAAGAAAACCGATTTAAAGATGTGTTGATGCTCTTCCGTGAAATGCAAGCAGCAAAGATACGACCAGATGAGTTCACTATGGTTAGCATCCTTACCACCTGTGCACATCTTGGGGCTCTTGAACTTGGAGAGTGGATCAAGACTTACATTGACAAGAACAAAATTAAGGTTGACGTACACCTCGGTAATGCTGTCATAGACATGTACTTTAAGTGTGGGAATGTGGAGAAGGCATTGATGATGTTTACTCAAATGCCTTGTAGGGACAAATTCACGTGGACGGCCATGATTATCGGTCTTGCATCTAATGGGCATGAGAGAGAAGCTCTAGATATGTTCTTTGAGATGCTGAGAGCTTCAGAAACACCAGATGACGTGACTTACATTGGTGTTCTTAGTGCTTGTACTCATATGGGTATGGTAGACGAAGGAAAAAGCTTCTTCGCTAACATGGCCTCTCAGCATGGCATTCAACCTAATGTTATACATTATGGCTGTCTGGTTGATCTTCTTGGTCGAGCAGGGCGTTTGGAGGGAGCTTATGAAGTTATAAAGAGTATGCCAGTGAAACCAAATTCAATTGTTTGGGGAGCTCTTCTTGGTGCTTGCAGAATTCACAAGGATGTTCAAATGGCTGAAATTGCAGCTCAACAACTTCTTCAGCTAGAGCCTGGAAACGGGGCTGTCTATGTTCTCTTGTGTAATATATATGCAGCTTGCAAAAAATGGGATAACTTGCGCGAAACAAGAAGAATAATGACAGATCGCGGGATCAAGAAGACACCAGGTTGTAGTCTGATAGAGATGCATGGAATTGTTCATGAATTCGTTGCAGGGGATCAGTCTCATCCTCAATCTAAAAGCATATATTCGAAGTTGGCTGAGTTGATTGGAGAATTAAAATTTTCCGGTTATGTTCCAGATACTTCAGAGGTTTCTCTTGACATAGGAGAAGATGAGAAAGAGAACTCCCTTAATCGACACAGTGAGAAGTTGGCGATTGCATTTGCTCTAATCAATTCTGAACCTGGATTCACTATTAGGATAGTGAAAAACCTTAGAATATGTACAGATTGCCACCATGTAGCAAAGTTAATATCGGAACGTTACAATCGAAAACTAATTATTAGAGACAGGACCAGATTCCACCATTTTGTACAAGGTTCATGCTCTTGTAAAGATTATTGGTGATCCTCTATCATTTTCGTTTTACATTTTTTCATTATTGTTTATTCTTCCCAAGAAAATGCCTCGTCCTCAAATATCGAGTCTGTTATATTTCCCTCCATCGTATTTGTCCCTCAAAAAAAAAAGCATCAGCCAGCCATTGTGTCATGGCTGAATACAGGCAGCCTTGTCACTGCGGCAAGTTCATCCCTCTTCGTTGGCACCACCCTTCTCCGGGCGATATCCATATTTCATATTCCTTTCTAGTTGCAGATGGTTCTTTTTCTTGTATAGCAGAGTGCGCCGTTGGCTTCACCCTGGGAGAGGTAAATATGCATCTGTCATATGCTCTTTGGGCTTTCAAGTTTCTTATAATTTTTATGGTTGCTAAGAAGCTATTATTCTTTGTGTCAGACTAAGGAAGAACTATTGAGTGTACTAGGACTTCAGGGGAAGAAAGGAAGTTCACTTGAATTTCTCAGAAGAGGCTACAAGGTCACCTCCTTAGTTTACTACTTTAATAGTCTGTTTTATATCTGTGATTAGCCCCATTATTCAAATGACATATTATTTGAAGAAATATGAAATAGGTCAGTCAACTTCTCCTATTGAATCATTTCTCATTAGACTAATACCTTGTTCCCTTACTGCAGACAGCAACTTGGTTCGAAGAAGATTTGATTTAGAAGCATCTTCTGCATGGCGTAGTTAAGCAGTAGAACTGAGCTCCAAGAAAAAGTTGGTTACAAAAAGAAGAGGATGGCGGTGGAAGCTTACAGATCCATACCCCCGTGGTGGAGAAATTAGGTACGGAATAATTACCCAACTCGTTGAATCAACAATGTTCTTTAATATAATGCTTCCCCAGCCTTTAAAGAGAAAAAGTTCCAGTCATCAGATATCCACAAAATAGTTTCAGATCCAGTCAAATAACACATATCAAAGCAGTTAGAAAAAGAAAATATAGAAGTAAAGAAGACATAGCAATTACCTTTTCCATAGGGAATACGTTCCCGTTGGACAAGAAAATAGTATACTTTTGTTGTGTTAACTGTTCTTTTACAAAATTGAGACACTTTGAATACACAAAACTAAATCTCTTACAGCAATCCCAAAACAATTCTCTAATATTTAAAATTCAAACACTAGAAACAAAAAATGTCTTCTTGACTTAGTCTGGATTATGGACACTAAAGCCAGTCTCGAAACCTCTAGAACTTGAGCTCTAATGCCTGTGAACTCCAAATAGGATTAGCAGCGAAAATGTGAAGAGACTAATATGGTCTCTCCGGAGATTTGTGCAGCATTGGAGTAAACTCAGTTTCTCCATCATCGTTCTCATTAAATCCGTCCTCTTCCATTTCCTCAATTTGACGAAGTTCTGCAATTTTCCTCCTTGTATGCCGGCGCCATGCAGCTTGTATGAAGCTGGCAGCCCAGGTTCTCCATTGCTGTGAGTAAAACCTAAAAGTGTGTTGTACCTGTCGACTCTGCAACCGCCTGAACTGTGATGTAATGTACTTCACTTCTTCTGCCTCTAAGGCAAATGCCTCTACTTCTGTCAAAGCCTTGACTGTCCTAGTTGATGGCGGCAAGTTAGAACCGGATTTTGGATCCAATGCCCATGTTAGCAGCTCCTCACCACAGAAGTCATTTTCTTTCAAGATACCTCTGTTGAAGAATCCACTTCTCCCACCATCAGTTGTTACACTTTCTAGGCGACCACGGATTATAAACATCATTTCACCAACTGGATCTCCTTCCCTAACTATATATGTTCTTTCTGTGCATAAACTTGGTTTCAATCTCTCACATATGGCATCAAGCATTCTCTCATCCATGTTCTCAAACAAGGGCACCTGCAAAATGTATCATTCACAATATTTTAACATCAAATTTCACATCAAGGTTTCAAACATATAAAAAAGTACTCTACATCATGCCCAACAATGTGAACTTGAGCTATCAACAAGATAAGAGTACTTACCCTTCTGACCAAATTCAAACAGAGATGCCGCTTAATATCCCTCCTAAGATCTTTGGGCAGATTTTGCACCAAACTCTCTTCATCTACTCCTCTAGTTTCCAACCATTTGTACTGATCGTAACGTCGAACTCTCTCCCTTAGCTCAGGAGGAAGTACTCTATGATGCATCCACTGCTCTGAGTCACGCCTTTTGACCCTCATCTCCTCAAGTCGTACTGTTAGAGACTGAAGATAGGTCTGTAGGGTGCACAAAGCCAAAGTATAAGCACTATTATAATGTATGAACTTAAATACTTCTCTAACCTAACAAGCACTACCTGTACTTGTTAAAGAATTTACATGTTCCTGGAGCTTAATATATACAAGCATTTCCTTAATCAAGCAATCAATAGGTTGTTATAAATCATTTCTCCCATTTGTTTAGGAAGTAACGCGCTCAATTGTGCGAGCCCTCCATTTTTATTGTTTGAACCAATCTGAATTAGGAAAAATATGGGAGGGAAAATACCAAATTTTATCTACTCTGACTAAACAATACTATTAGAAGGATAAATGATAAAAAGGAGGTATGAGACCTGTTCAAAATATTACTAGCTTTGACCTTCAAAAAAAAATTAAAAGAATAAAGGAAGTATCACACTGAAAACTTATGTACTATTCTGCATCATCTTCTACAGAATCTGGCAACATTAACCTTAAGAAAAAAGTTGCCAAAATAAAAAAAGGTAAAGTATTACTCACCTGCATGTTTCCAATGAGAAGAGCAAATAGTAGGAGTCCAGAAATGGCCAATATTATTGAAAAGAGATTTTCCTTAGTATAGGTACTGGTCTCAAGCCCCTGACCAAGTGTGCTGTAAAAAATGAAATTTAAAACAAGTTAAAGCTCACAAAGGCATTGTCCAAAGGGTGATTTTCTGATTCTCATGAACACCCCCATCAGAACAGGGAAAATCACGATTCCAAGAGCATCGATAAAACCCTGTTCTAGGACAAATCAAAAACTACCTCAATAAAGGAAAGCATGTCTGAATTATAGACAGCGCACTTCCACAGAAACCTCTTGCCTTCTAACCATACTATGCCACTCAATGGAGTAGTAAACTAAGAAAACAAACTTTGATGACACCTCGATAGCTTTCAAATTTTTACCTTTTGTTGAACTAAAAGTAGACAGTTAGTTTGTGTTTCAACGTGGGGTAACATAATTTTCTCACAGAAATCAGGAAGATCTTTGAGGCAGACAATTATTATTAACTAAAGACAGAGTGTGAAAAGGAGGGAAAATGGAACAATATAATTAGGCGCATCATATGGCTGAAGTTTTACCTCAAATTCTGCAAGCCCCACCACAAACAAAAACAATATTTGATCACGAAATCTTCAGTGTCAAGAACATTAGTTGTTACAGCTCTTGCATATATTCCATATGAAAATTTCTCCTCCTCAGCACAGTTTTCATCAAGAACACTCTTACCAATGTCTTGCCATTCTGTCAAATTGAAGTTTCCTTCACGTGAACAATACAGATAAGATAATTTTTCGTTGCACTGGTCATTTTCGGTACATGCTTCATTCCAACATGTATCTTTGCGTTCGACAGCTAACAGGTACCAGACGGCCCCAAATATCTACATATCATAAACAACAAACTTTAAGCATTTCTGGGTTCTTGAAAGATGGCCTTCTGATCATGTTTGAGACTCATTGATTATTTAACCGGAGTTACCTTAGCTTCTCTTAGTACCATAAATAATCAAATACCAATAACTGATGAAATTCTAGTTAACAGCTCAGATTATAATGATAACAAAGTATGCCGAAAGGAAAAGGAAATAAAAGGATCCAGTCTACCCATTGAGGTGGGGGAATAGGTAAGAGTGATGTACTACTCATGGTCAATGAGGAGATGAAAAGATTGCAGTGCAGTGTCCCAAATGATGTCCTATAACAAATACTATTTGTCCAAGACACAAAGCTATTTAAACTATGAAATCTAGAAAAGGGAAGAGTATATTGTGAATGATCATTTTTAGATGCCATATACAATTGTCGCAGAATTTTCATATTCTAGGCAAAGGACCATAAAAGAGCAGAGTGGAAAATCAACTACCACTAAATGGTCTTTTAATAAGAAATTTGACGAAAAACTAAGCTTCACTAAATATTAATGGGTTCCTTTAGAATATGTTAGCAGGATGTTTTATCTTGCTACTATATACGTTCTTACCGTATGTAATGACTGGTCATTTTATGTCAAAACCTTATCAGACAAATACGAAGAGAAATTTGCGAAAGCACAAAAGAGTAAATATTAAATGCACTCACGAACAAACTTGAAAAGTTACTTACATGACTAGCTAGAACAAACCACAACAGATAATATGCAGCACCAGCCCAAGCAGTTTCTGCAAACACCCCTGCAGTCTTTTTCAAATCCGAACTTAATGGAATAAACCGCAAAAATCTAGGAATATATTGAATGAGGATGATGTACGATAATAATGTCTTTGTAACCAATACATCCGAACCTCTTGATCCACCAAGATATCTCCATGTCACAGTCTGAAGAAGAAAATGCACTAGAAGGCATAAATCAACCAAATACCACTTTTGTAGAAAGAAACAATCGTAAAATTATAGTTGAAGCTTTCATTAAGAGATCAAGATGTTTCTTTTTTCTTAATTTTAATAAGATAAAAATAACAATGGAAAATGGTCTTGTGTGATTTTAGAAAAAGGGCATTAGCATTCAAACGAAGAAACAAAAGGTGCATGGCGTGACTGCCAGTACTTATATGCATGCCCCCCTCTAACTTTCTATTTGTGTGTGTTTCTATTGCTGGAATAAAAGGTGCATAGAGAAAAATAGGTATTATGTATATATTGCTGTAACAATTGCTAAAATAGATTATATGCATATTTGCCTCACTATCTGCATGTGTGTGTGAGCCTGTCACTGTCACAGAGTGTGTGAGAGAGAGAGTGTGTGTTCCAAAGATATGTATATAGCACAGCCTGGTGCACTGCGGGGTCCAGGGAAGGGCCGGACCACAAGGGTCTATTATACGCAACCTTATCCTGCATTTTTGCAAGAGGTTGTTTCCACAGCTCGAACCCGTGACCTCTTGGTCACATGGTAGCAATTTTACTAGTTATGCCAAGGCTCCCCTTAAAGAGAGTTCCAAAGAGAAAACTGTTTATCCAAATGGTTGCTGAATGTTGAATGTGCACATGAGTTGTTACATAGTCAGAGGTATAGTAGGAACCTGTGGTGCAGGAAGAACGGAAAGGAAATCCACTACAAAGTAACGGCTGAGGTATCTGGTTGCTATTTGCTTGGGATCTATTACAAGTTCACCTCGCCCAAAAACACGGGAAGATGGAGCAATAAAAGCTGTTCGAAATTGGAGAACCATGCGGATAAGGTAAAAGAGATCAACTGCTGTCCGCATCCAACTCACTATGTTTGCTAAACTTTCATCTATGTGGAGACACTTCCCTTCATCCTTAAAAACAGGAAGGTAGAGAAATAGAGGATCAATAGATACTGCAAAAATACATGATATGACCAATAGCCTATTCCAGAACAGGAGAGACTTGTCTTGAGGATCAAATATCCTTTTATCTGAAACTCTCAGATCTTCTGGAAAAACTGCTCGGGTAACACCAGATTTCAGTGTTCTACCAAATGTCACTAGTCCCTCAGATCCTCTTTTTACTCCTAGTTTTATTGACTTGGATGGGTTGGTAGCGTGCCCCTCTATATTAAATCCATACTTAGTCCTTCCAGCCATATCGGACTTAAACGATATGTCAGAGTTAGCGTCCTCTAACCTGCAAGAAACAAGGAAAGCTTTTTCTGACTTACAATAGACAACTAGTTCATTTCAGGAATTTAATCAGGGGTGTTAGAGGCTGTCTCAAAACCATATGCATCAGTATATATGACTATAAAACAATTGAAGTGATAAT